AGAGGAAATCGTTTGCAGGACACATGGTTGTAGGCTTACATGTGGCACCCTTTGGAATGCCTCATCTCTGTTGTGCTGTTTTCCTTTTCCGTAGCACTGTGGATAGTTCTACTCTCATCTGAGACGCTCTTAAATCTTCTACTTCTAGAAGCACTAAGACCGTTTTACTAAGAATAAAATGAAAAATATATTAGAAAATTCAAAGGAAAAGAAAAAATAGCACCACGCGGACCCACTGCCAAGGAGGAAACGTTTGAGTGCTTGCCAGACTCAAAATGTCATTTTAAAGAGAAGAAAAGGGCACACTGAGCGATATTTCGCCCCTTCCCTCCGTTCAGGTTAAACTTTAGTGGCGTAGCCTGCAGAACGTCAGGCGCTATTTTTACGCGTTTTTCAGGCGAGCGTGGAGCGCGAGGCACGCGAGACAGGTGAAGGCTATTTTTACACGCTTTTCATCATAGCGCGCGTCTAGCGCTTCGCGCCTTCTTCTCACTTGAAAGCAAAACACAAAATGTCTTGAGAGATACTCACTTTAATCTATTCCTTTGATAGTGTCGGAATAAGTTCATTTCAAACGAGAATTTTCCTGAAAACAAAAAGAACGCGACGGTTGCCAGTTTATTGATCTTAATGACTAGCAAAGTTTTTAGAAGTCTTTTTCTATTTATAGTTGTCTTTAAAAGTTCAGGCCTTGCTACGGGGAGGGGGGGAGGCTGTCACTTTGTTGGTCATTTCTGAGACTGCCTGTCGCATTGTAGATTAGGAAAAAATGTCGCTGTCGTAATTTAGCCAAGAAGAAAATGTCCCTTTCGGTTCAGCATAAATTTTTATGATACTCAGTTTTAAACTTTACGGCAAATATAGCGCCTTAAAAGAAAATTGTTATTAACCTTCCTCCCTGGATAGACTGTTCTTCAGTAATGCCAACATTAGAAAACGGTTCAAAGAAAATAACAGAAAATGCTTGGAAAAACGGACGAGAGGTTGTGATTTAAATGTCAAACAGCCAAAATGTAAAAGACATCAAATGTCGCTTTCGCCACTTAAAAAATGAATTGTTGCTGTCAGAATTCTTTCCTGCTTTTCTGTCGGTTTTCGGTGGTTTCTGAGAAGATTGTCGCAAGTTTTCGGAGCCATGTCGCCTGTCGCTTCCACCCCTTGGAAGGTCTCTTGGAAGACATTAGGTAGAGGGAATAATGTCAATTAGTAGAATTTTTAAGAGTAACAATAGACTTGTTTTTGTAAAATTTAATAAAAAATCTAGCGAAGCCACCTTCTGCCCTTTTAATAAAGATGAAAATTTTGACCTTTATCGTGATGTTATTGAGTTGTGTCGCACATAAACCAAACTACTTTATTACACCGTACGTTTTCCCTGCTCCTAATCTTAAATTTATTTTTGGGTTGTTCGATGTCAACATTAGGGAAAGAAATAGAGTATTTCTGATAGTAGACTAAAAGATCATTGCACGGTATAATTTCATAACTCATTCGAACTCAGCGTCATAAACAAAACCACAGTACGAAATGAGGGCAATCCTGAAATTTTAATTGGATGGCTGAAAATAATCGATTTGAATACCCCCAGTCCTCAGAAATAGTTTATTGGCCTTACCATATCCCTATGAGTAGTTAGCTTCTCGCGATCGAGCTCGGTGATCATCCTCGCCCCAGCCCCCCTCTCCCCTCTGAAATAACATACTAATTAACAACAAGGGCTGATGCGAAGGGGCCTGGACCATGTTCGAAACGAGTCATTTTCACGATGACGACCTGTGACTCCAACCAACAGAATTCATGCGTGTAGATAACTGTACGCCACTGCGCATGTGCGTACCTGAAAACGAGTCGAAGATAAAGAAAACAAAATCGAAATACAAACAAAGGACTCAAAATTTTTCGTCTACTTTGAATATTGCAATCTTGAACAAAACCTAATGAAAAAGTAATCCTTCCACCACCCCCCACTCCCTTCCTCCCAAAATCAGGGATTGAGCCGCGCAAGGACCAAAATGCACCATTCTGCCAACCTTGAACTGGGGAGAGGGAGGTGCGGTTGAAATGTTACACGGCTTTTTTGTCCAAGATTGTAGTTTTCTTGGTTACTCGCTGAAACTCCTTTTTTACCATTCTTTTAAACAAAAGAGACGCACGGAACGGCTCTTAATAAAGTTATCTTTAAACGGGACAGGGAAAGATAAACTTGGACCGCTACAGAACACTTTGCTTAGTTTAGCCAGTTTTCGTACGTGGTTTTAATTTGGTCAAAATTGTAACGCTTCTTTTTCTTTTACAAGGCCGAGTGGATTCCAGCGAACAAACACAAGAAGAGTACTGTGTCACACTTCAGTGAGACTAGTAACATGAAGACTCGTGTTTCTGTCGTGATGTTGGATTGTGAGCAGGACAGTACTGTCACGCTAACGAAGATCTCGCGGTAATCTACAAGGAGTGTACCGCACGCCTCATTGAAGCTGTAATCCTTACTACATACGGTCAAATATAATACGTCCGATATGAAGAGTGAATTGTACATAGAGTCCTTAAAAATGTAAGGGACGTGGATTCTAATAAGCTGCATATTAAAGAGCGTACAGTCGACTCTCGATAACTCGAACCTTCAAGGGAAGTCGAACACACTTCGAGTTATCGGGAGTCTGCTGTACTTCTGTTCCGTTGGAACTAGTGACAACCCACTGAAACGAGCAACACGAGTACTCTCAATTCTTAGCACGGCATTACTGTCAAGCTAACGAAGATTTCTCATTAATCTACTACGACGCACATTTCCAACCACCCATGAGGAAAGATCACGCACAGGACCTGCGCAACAAGATAGAAATTTTGTCTTGTTTTGTTGTTGTTGTTGTTGTTGTTATTTTGCTGAATTGTAGCTTGCATCAATGGTATTGATTTTTCGAAGCTGCCTGAGTGATCCCAACTCCCTTCTGTCCCATTTAGGAGCACGTTGACAATGAAAGATTCTGGTAACTTTATTTGCTAACTTTTGAAAACAGCTAAAACGTGCCTTTGCATCAATTGAATTTTAAAGAAATGGTCCAGTTTTGTAACAGAAGACTGTATTTATATTGAAACTGTTTCCTGTCGTCTGTTGCTACTGATGGACGTCATAGTTTAAGTGTGTTCCTTCTAACGCTGACAGTGCTTGTGACAAAATTTACGTCAATAATCTTCGAAAAATACTGACGGCTGGAATTTCCTGGCATTGACAGAGTCCTAGACTCTTTCGCAAAAGTTTTCCCTCTTATTAAAAGTGCGCTCCGCTCGGTTTATAGCGTGAGGACGACTTGTAGCAAGTCTAATTTGCGTCCTGGCCTTTTTCGAAAACCAAGTCAATGAAGACACCCTGTTGCAATTTGTTGCTGTGTAACTGTGGTGCTTTAGATAAATGATATCGAGGTACCTTAAACTAAAGAATAATTGCACATACTATTTATTGACAGCAACTCTTTTAGCTGTTTTTAAGCTAGATATAACCAGGGCTCGTTTCTTGAAAGGTCCAGTAACTTTTAGGGCCCAAACAAATCAAAACCTTGAATATTAGTACGTTCGCAGCGCACAAACCAGTCCTTTTTGCTTCGTTAAATGATAATTTTATTATATCATTTTCAAAATTGTTGAAAATTTGATCTTGAATGCAAACACGACAAACAAAAAAGCTTTCCGTACCCGAAAAGTTACCGGGACACTCAAGAAAGGGCCTCCAGGAGTCGATAACCGGCTCCTCAGTTATATAACATCTCGAGATATATTTACTGACTTCTAATATAATTACCCGGGGTAATAGTAATTATAAAGACCGTTATATATTGTATTCTTTCAAGAATACAATTAATTTTTATTTATTAGTGATACATGAAAAAATAAACTTTTTATACGTTTATGTTTACGCATATTGTACAGAACTGATTGAATGTTGCAAATGACAATGGTTTCTAAAGTATGTTTCATGAAAATAGGCGAAATCTACACGATGTATGTAATACACAGTACTGTTAAAAATGCACAGCATCTACGAGATCTACAGGAAATACAGCTGAGATCTACGACATCCACAGTATCTATACTTTCATTTTCTCGGCCCAGTTGTTGGAAAGGTGTATAACGCTATCCACTGGATAAATCTCTATCTAGTGGATAACTCAATTGATGTGCCTAATACTTATCCAGTGGATAGCGCTATCCAACTTTTGAACAACCGGAACCAGAACTTTAAAATTAAATTGCAGAAAACTAGTTTCGAGAGAGGTCGTCGAAGAGTGCAAACGTGCATGCGACAACCCACAAATATTCCTTTATAAAATTGACGGGGATGCCCGTCCGAAAATTTAAAAACAAAGACTCCTACAAGTCCTAAAGGAAGACATGGGCCAGGCTTTATTTGACCCTGCATAAAGGAGACCCCGCTCCACCAAAGTACGGACGGCATTTGCCTTTTTTCATGTGGGTATTTGGCACAACCTCAAGTGATACCTTAATGGCTAAAAATATAGGTTTTCAGTAAGCGATACTAAATTATGCATGGTCTACCCCTGTCCCCTAAGCGAAACAACGAGCATCCTCGTTTCTTTTAAGTCCCCTCCGCGGCCCCCCTCCCGTGCTCCCCTCCCCGGCGGAGATTGGGGAGTAGCCTCAGTCACACGTTACTCGCCCCTTTTTGCAACGTTTGATTTCTGGAGCAGCTTTCTGGAAACTTTTGCTATTTGGAACAGCTTTTGATTTGGGGGGTAACAACTTATGGAAATTACAAAGTCCGCAAATGCTGTTTAAGCCTTGTTTAATGTATCCTTTTAAGAACTTTTCAGTCATTTGTTTTTATATTTACGAGGAACTTTTGAGCAACTTTTTAGGAAGTCCAGCAACTTCAGGTAACTTTTAACTCATTTTGGAGCACCTACACCTTGTGGCTACTGCGAACTTAAAACTACCCACAATACCTATCGGGGTTGTCGCGTGACTACTAGGTGTCAAATCACAACATGGCGCCGAAGGTTGTTCTCGTTACGGGCTGTTCCACAGGTATAGGGCTATATACAGCTCTCTTGCTAGCTAGCGACAAAGAAAAGCGCTTCAAAGTCTATGCAACCCTTCGAAATCTTGCAAAAAAAGGCGAGCTTGAAGAAAAGGGAAAGGATTTTCTCGGTGACACACTCATCATCAAAGCGATGGATGTTTGCTCAGATGAGTCCATCGACGGAGTTGTGCAAGACTTGTTGTCCACACATCAGCGGATCGATATTCTCAGTAAGGTTTTAAGTTAATTTTCACGTTCTATTAATGGTACACAAAATAAACCCTTCTTCGCAGAGACATGGAGAAATTCTTTAGTCAGAGCAAGTACTGAGGGCATTAAAAAATTTTAGTCTTGAAACTGAAAGTATTAAAAATGACGAATGAACTCTAGATTATTTCCACGTTTCTGCTTGAGACCAAAAAGACACTGTATCATCAGTGTACGTGGATTATATCCTTGAGATGTGTTCGGAGGGTGACCAATCCCTCCCTCCCCCATCCCCAACCATATCATTCAGTTCTTAGTTACACGAATTCGTTTCTTGAAGAGGCTTCACAAATTAATTTGTATTTCAAGTTGCCTGTTATTTAATCACCTGCTTGTTCGAGGTTCAAGCTGTCCATAAATAAACCAAGATTTTACAAATCCCTCCTTCCAAATCTTTTGCTGTAGGGATGAGTCTCACACGTGAGGATTGGGAACATTGATGTCGCACTAGCTTGCACTCTTTGTCCAATTAATAGCATAATCATTTCCTTGAGAACTTTGAAACTCTTCAGAATGCCTTCAAAAATCTGGGGATAGACCTGGGAGATCTTGCAACATCTTTGGATACAACAGTGCTGCCATTAAGGAGCTAGTCTCTAAGGGAAAGTAGGCAGCAGTAGTCATTCATCCCACAAATCCTCATTATGTGCCATGTTTGACTCATTTTCCAACCAAAGGTAGCGCCATGGATGGCTGATTTTACTGCAGTAGTTGGCTAAAAAAAGCCAGCCGCAAGCTACTAATGACAGCCCTGCACAAGCAGGTCCTCTGTCACTGAGGTGCAGATGTATTTCCTGCAAAATGTCCCTTTTTACAGGGAGCTGGGAGAGACTGCTGTACTTGCAGGCTACTGCAACTCCTTTGCCCTGCTACATGTAAATCCACCCATATCTTAAGTTATAAATTATGACCAGAACTATACAGAGAATTATTCCCTCCAAGGTTTTTTATTAATTTTAAAACTGCCTCTAAGAGATTGCCTGTAGTAAGCTGTCCCTGCCCTAAGAGGTGCCTGTAATAACACCCCAAGTACTAGATGACCCTCCCAATCCCAGAGGCGGGGGGGAGGGGGTACTCCCTATGATGGCCTACAAGGGCATGGGGAGGCTTCACCTGAAAGGGGTACCTTTTTTAGGCTTCAGGTATATGAAATGGTAGGGATTTCACTAGTTGAAGTATATAAAAGGGTAGGGCAATCTGTCATTTGGTTCTGTAAAAGGGCTCAAAGGGGCTAACAGATGACTTTTGTGGCTTTAAAAAATCAAGAATATTTATGTAATTGATTCCTATTTAAAAGAGTGCATTTACAGCAGTTAAAAGGGGTGCAAAGTTCTAAACAAGGAATATGAAAGGGGTACCATTTGTCATTAGAAGGTATACAAAAGGGGTACCTTATCATGGAAAATGGTACATAAAAGGGTAAGGGGTTGGACCTTGGGGCAGAGCCTCGCTGTACAAACATTTATTGAGTACCCTCCAGGGACTTGCATATCGTTAATCAAAGGGAGAATTCAATTTTAGATCAGGAAGTACTTAAGGCCTTATTCACAGTCACAACTTTAATAAGTTAGTTTCTTATGCCATCGTTAGCAGTACAAAGTTGGTGCTGATTATTGCAAGAAGCTAATGCAAGCAGTATTGATCTCGTCCTTTCTAGTTAACAATGCCGGAGTAGGCTTGCTGGGCCCCTTGGAGACTCAAACAATGGACGTGGCAAGGAGTGTTTTCGAAACTAATTTCTTTGGAGTGTTACGGCTCACAAAAGCTGTCCTCCCATGTATGAAGTCCAAAAGAGACGGCCATATTATTTGTGTGACCAGTGTGGGAGGAATCAGTGGAGTGCCGTTTAACGGTGTGTACTGTGCGTCAAAGTTTGCAGTGGAAGGACTTGTTGAGTCTCTGGCCCCAATGCTGAAAACATTTAATGTGAAGTAGGTACATTCAACCAAGTCTTTAATTTTTCAGTTACAGGTTAAAATCAGCTTCTTCTTTCATTCAAGGTCTTGGGTACTGTATTATATGTTTTGTTCTATTTCCAGTCTCATGATATAGTAATTTATTTATACTGAGCAGCCAAAAAACCTGCCAACATATGGAAGCAAGTTGATTAAATTTTGTTTGAATTTAAACCTCCTTTATATCTTCACCTTGACATGTGAAAGAGTTGGCTTATTAGAAAGCCTTTTAAGGGTCAAAATTATGCAAATCAAAAAAGCCATTGCCGAGTCCACAAGGAAAGTGCCATTCCAGACAAAGCATTGTTTTAAATGATAACTTGCAACCTTGTTCCAGACAAAAAATTTCAGACCTACATGCTTACATTACAAATTATAATAAGAATGTGGATTTCGCTAAAAGAAAGTTCTTAAGTTGTGTGTCAGAGCTAGTACAGCAGTACACGAAACTGAATCAACGAGGGATTCTAGGAAGAATTTCCCCTGTTTCCCATTTTATATAAACTAAAGCAAAATAACTGAAATCTCTCTGTCAAAGCAAAAGGCTGCCAGTTTTAATAGCCCTTTTACAGTTACCAGTCACGTGACTGGCTTAATGCAGAACTTGAAAAAAATTAAAGATGGAAAGAGCATGTGAGAAAGTTACCTGGAATCCCATTTTTGAGGTGATTGGCACATAAATAGGCTGGAATTTTAGGCTGGAATGTCTGCAAAACTTTAAGGGTTTTATGGAAAGAAGTGCTGGACCACAAAGTTTGCAATCCAACACCTTTTTCTCAGCTATTGATACATGTGTATGAAATATTTTCTTGCTACTTTAAATCACCATAGAATGGTACTGTTGTGAGTTTAAAGCCTAAAAATTATTGCAAGATCTACTATTTTCTGGGATTTTCAGGGTTATCTCTCAATTTTGGCACACGACCCTGAGCTTCAAAGGGGGTATACCCTGACTCCAACATGAAAGAGTTAGGGATGCTCATCTGAAATTTTGAATGGAGCCCCACCCCTCTTTTGATCTCTAAAAGAGACCATTTTAAACTTTGATTACTTGAATCAAGTATTAGATAAAATGAATTGAAGAATTTTTAATATTTCTTCCCATGCAGCCCTAAAAGAGATCTTTACAGCTAAATATAATGGCGTTTTGCCCAGAACACCCCAAATGAGACCAAAATCCAAAATTTACACCCCTAAGCGAGATAATGAGCAGAGTCCTTCCCCCCCCCCCCCCCCCGGGGGAATTTGTAAAAATCCAAAAAAAAAAAACACGTGCCCCTACCTCTTAAACCCAGTTTCAGAGGGGAAATAGGGAGCCTCACTCATTGTTTATAAAAAAAACCATCACAAACTGTTTTTTATTTTTTTTAATCCCCCCCCCCCCCCCTACCGGTGGATATTGTAAAGATCCAGACAAAAAAATCACGTGCCCATACATCTTAGAACCAGTTTCAGAGTGGAACTAGGGAGACTCTATCATTGTTTATCAAAATAACCCTAACTACATGTATTTTCATTTTATTCAAATTAAAAGATGCTCTTTAATTGAGCCAGGACCAGTTGCAACCTCATTTGGGGCCAATCTGCGAAGCAATGACAAAGAAGCGGACAGCCCTCCCATAGATGATGAAACTAAGCAACTACTGGAGAATCTGAGCAAGAAGATAAGCACAGCCTTTACCACAGTGGTTCAGACTCCAGATGAAGTTGCTCAAGTAATTCAAGAAGCAATCTTAGCTGAACAGCCACATTTGAGGTATCAAACAAACAAGAATTATGCAGCTGCAACAGCGGCCAAACTAACCGACCCCACTGGCAATAAACCTATAGAGCTTATGCATCAGCGCTACTTCAGTTAAATCAGAGGTTATGGGGAAAACGTGTTTGTGGCCACTGTTGATCAGCACCGGTCTGAATACATCCCTGGGGGGTACTCAACAAAGTTTTATACAGATAGGCTCATCCCCGAGGTCCAACCCCTTACCCTTTTATATAACATTTTTGACAGAAAAGTACCTCTTTCGTAGACCTTTTATTGACGATTGGTGCCCCTTTCATATACTGGAATGCTGCTTCCCCTTTAAACGCTGTCTGAAATTAAATATGATTATTATTCATTCAAAATATTTCCCCGATTCTGATTAGCTAAAAGCACACGCATAATTCACCATAACCAGTTTCTGATGACCAAATTTGGAAGAATTTTGTGTTTAACGAGGAAATGACGTCAAAAATGCAGCGTTCGTCCAGATTAAGGCACCGTTAACCGAGAAGACCTGGAGACGAGGTTGAGTTGTTTTGATTGTGAACTTGAAAAATGGTGGACATTTCACTCGTTTCAAGAGTAAGAACTAGGCGAAAACATAGCTAAAAACATGGCAAGAACAGCAAGAAGACAACTCGAAGGGCGACATCTGCTATTTGGAGAATATTTGCGGAGCTGGACAAACCTAAACGTACACTATCGAAGATGAACTTAACATCGATGGATCGATGGAGGTTAGCATGTTTTAGCTATGTTTTTAAACTAGGAATTATTTTGAATGAATAATAAAACAATTATTGAATTCGGCTTTCGTATCATATGAAGAATTATGGCGATCTCGGAGGTTGTTATCCGCCTCGGCCTACGGTCTCGAGGGATAAC